GGAGCTCCTCATATTAGAGATTTTCATTATGTTCCCTATGAATCTTATGCTCCCCCCCCCCCCCCCTGTACTTTCTGTTCTTCCCCCTCAGTCTTCATTAAGGACTATTTCTTTTGAGATCTCTGATGGAGTGCACAATTCCTTCTTCAGCTGTGTTTGATCTGCTGTTAGACCTGTGTATTAAGCTCATAAGATCAGTTAATGTATCTTTTAGTTCTGGAGTTTTCATTTGATTATTTTTTAGTTTACAATTCTCTTTCGAAATTCTATTTGTCATCTGAATTCTTAGATATATTAACCATGATTATTTTCAAAGCCTGGGTCTCATAACTCCACTATATGAATCTCCTATAGAGATTTTAAAAAATTAGACTTTTAATTTTGAGACAATTATAGATTCACATTAAATTGTAAGAAATAATAGAGAGAGCTTATGTTCCCTTTCTAGTTACCATCAGTGGTAACATCTTGCAAAGCTATAATACAGTTTTATTACCAAGATACATTGATACAATATTATTTCAGTTTCTTCAGCTTTCCTTGTACTCATGTGGATGTGTGTGGATGTGTGCATACGTGTCTGTCTTGAATATAGCCTATTTATTTACTTCCATGCAATTTTATCACATGTGTAGGGCTATTAGCCCTTAAAAAATTTTTTTTCACTCTTGATTTCCAGTCATTCGGTTTTGTCCCTAGATATGTCTGATCATTTCTTATGGACTGCCAAACCTCGTGTGGCAAAAATACATGAGTTTGGATGATGCTATCTTCCTCCAGAGAGAATTTACTAGCTGGAAAGGAAGAAACGCCCCTTGGAGACCTCTGACCATGAATGTAAAATGAGAGTCAGCACACATCAGAACCCTGTGCTTTTCCACATCAGCATTCAGATGTGCAGGTGCTGGCAGGAAGCAGGTGGACAGCAGGATTTAACCGTGGTTGGATGGTGCCAGCTGAGTGGGACAGAGGGAAAGAGGGTGTTGTAAGTAAATTGGTGGAAGAGAGGATAAACAAAGCAAATCTGCCTGCAGCTTCATTTTGCTCAGCACTAAGTAATGAAAAGCAATGTTTTAAAACAAATCTGGATTCGTTCTGGAGTAGAATGCAGAAAGCACAGGAGTTTTTCAGGTTACTCAGTGGACTTCAAACATGGTTTTCCTGTTTGAAGTGCTGCTTCCAGCTATACCCCTTGCTTCATGGGGGTGAACTCCTCTTATTAGAAGTTTGGGAAACTTTGGAAAAGCCTGAGAAGGCTGTTCTGCTGGTGTGACTTCCTGTAACTCCAGACTGGCCCCCTGGCATTTCCCAGGGGCCATCTGAGGACAAGATCTAACTAGGAGCAGTGACAATAGTGATGGGGCAGGAGGGTGGAGGCTGCGCCCCTGCTCTGGTCTGCACAGAGAGGGCTGGGGCCCAGGTCAGGAGCCCTTGGGGTGGGCTGAGCCCTGGAGGGGTGGCTGGGGGTAGCAGACCTTGACGCTGAGAGTCAGTCTAGTCTCTGATGCGAGTCACAGGAGTCCAGGTAGACCGTGAGGAGGGGACAGGTTGAAATACAACAGGGCTCCTCCCACTCCACCACCCCATCTCCCTAGGAGCCCCAAGGGATGCTCTGGGGACCCAGGAAAGTAATTCAGGCAGATTGGGTCTCAGGGAACAAGTCAGGAACCTGGGATCCCGTAACTGGGGCACGAGGTGGGGATGAGGTGTTAGGAATGAGGCCAAAGCCCAGTTATCAGAACTGGGACACTTTCCATGTGGGACCCGTGTTCTTTACATCCTTCCTGCAGAAATCCTGGAAACAGGGGTGTGTCTGCCCCTGGGACCTGGCAGAGCCTGTCAGGTTAGGGGGCACAGGTGCGGCTGGGTGAGGCTTTGGCATAGTGAGGTGGCACCTCACTATGGCACCCCCTCTGTCTTTGCCTACTGCCTTGCTCCAAGTAGTAGCCACTTCATTCCTGCCCAGCAACCCCAGGGTAGCCCCACCTTTGCAAGAAGAGCCTCAGAGTAAACATCACGTTTATTTTGGACATTCAAATTTACAAAAACAAAAAGTAACAAAAACCATAACATAGCATACACACACACGCGCGCACACACACACATACACACACATGTTGCATCTCATGTCACTTTATGTACAAAATCAGGCGGGGTGGGGGAGGCAGGTTGCCAGTAGGATGCACTAATTTCACAGTGTCTGACAGCTCGACATGCTCATTCATTGCTCAGCCTGGGCCCACATGAGCCCCTCCCCAACCCAGCAGGGTCAGGGGCCAGGAGGAGGGGTTTGGAGTGGCAGGCAGTTGGGACAAAGCCGGTGAAGAGAATGATTCCATCTTTTGGGGAGGGGGGAGCGGTGTCCCTTCTCCAGTTTGCTCAGAGCAAGGATGCTGGGAAACATAGTAAAGAGGGGATCCATTTCAGGGGGGCTAGGACAACTGCATCATGGAGTGAGCACTGAATGAAGAGTCAGAAATCTGGGCTCAGGTCTCCCAGTGTCCCAGCTGGGCGGCCACGAAGACTGCTCATCCTCCCTGGGCCCTGGCATCTTCATCTGTAAAAAGAGGGCTTCGGAGCCCTTCCTGTCCACACCTGTGGTCCCAGGTCTTGCACAGATGTGGCAAGGTGATCGGCCTCTTGGGATGTTGGTTAAGGGGCGCCATGTGCCACAAGGTGGGAAAATCTGGCAGATAAGAGCTCTGAAGCACCTGGCGCAGGGCTGGGCCCAAAGCAGGGGTTTGGGAAGGGGCAGCTCTCTCCCCTTTGCAGCCTGGGACTCTTGGGAGACACCCAGCTTCCTCTCCCTTTTCATCTCTCCTGGAAACTCCAGCCAATGAGAGAAGGGCTAGGCTGTGAGCACCCCGCACAGGGACAAGCTCCCTGAAGGGGCTGAGAACCCTCCCCTGGCCTCACCCAAGGGGACCCTGGCCCAGGGGCCAGTCCACCCCTCACCTTTGTGTTCCTCTGGGTCAGGGTGAACAGGCTCAGGAGCAGTGGATGGCCAAATCCCACTCCACAGGCAATGGCAGTACCTGTCCCCTCAGGCTGAAGGGTGGGCCTTGGATGTCACCAACTTTGAACTCTGGGTTCCATCACTTGTGGGCTGATTGACAATGGGCAGGTTACTTAACTTCTCTGGGTCTCCATTTCTCTACTTGTACAATGGGGCTGAGAACAGTCCTACTTAGAACTGTTGTGAGGGTGAATGAGTTGATCCCTGTGAGGTGCCCAGCATGGCAAGTTTACAAGGGTGTAACAGACATGATTCCAGCCTCATTTTCAGCTGGGAGTAGCTTGAGGACACAGCTGAGCACCTCTGCTCCTCCCCATCTTTTTGGCATGCCCGGGAGTAGCTGAAGATCAAAGCTGGAGTCCAAACAACAGGCATTCAGCAAAGAAGGATAATCAGTAGATGGAGGAGTGGGGACTTGGGACATTCATCATTCTGGAATGGGAATAGGGACCCAGGCCTCTCACCGATGGCCCAGACTCAGAGCCTACACGACAACATCTCTGGTTTTGTTCCTGTTCCCTCTGGAGGGCTGACCAGGGTGATTCAACACAGGTCAGAAGTTTCACGATCACCATGACAAAGCATAAAGGACTTGGGATGATGTTTCTGGGTGGGCTCGAGTGACCAAACAAGTTCTATCACCTCCTTCCTAAGATTCTTTCTTTCCCTCCAAGGCCTCCACAAAAGCTGCTCCCTCAAAGACAATAACAGAAACCCAATAAAGCCCAGTGTTCCTGAAATCTAAGTACCAAATTTTGCCGTCACCCCAGCAACAGCGTATGTCATTATGAGATGCTTGACCCAGCACTGGGGCCGATGTCATTGGCTGTTACCAGGGCAACTAGATCTCAGCAGGTTCTGGCTAAAGCGCGCCATCCCTCCTTCTAGGGGGAGTTGGGCTGGAAGTGCTGAATGGTCTATTTGCACTCTTGAAATGGAAACGAGGATCCGGGGGCTGGAAGCAACAAGTCTTGGAAAAGCCTCCATGGCCCTGCACCCCACAGTCTGTAGCTCAGGCATCATGCCTCAGGCTAAGTGGATGTGGGGAGCAGAGACAGGGAACCAAAGGAACAAAAAGCCACCAGTGCCTATCTGACTTAAGTAACCAACAGCTGTCCAGACATCCAGTAGGTGAGTGGGGAGGGACCCCAGTGTTCTCAGCTCTCCATTCCTGCCAGAGTGCCTGGAGATCACACCTCTCCCACCCTACCTTCCAGGGATCAGGGGTGGGAATGCCAAGATGTCTGTATGTTTCATACAGGAAAGTGGCCCAGGGTTGGAAAGCATTGCTGGAATGTTGGAAAGCATTCTGACCCCTCAAATGTCAATCCTCTTAGGTTTAGACTGGACTCAAAAGACTCTCATGGGCAAGAAGTATGGTGTGGGGGAAAGAGCACTGGGTTCTAGTCCTGACTCGGCTCCATTGAGCTGTGTGACCCTGTGCAAGTCACTTGCCCTCTCTGAGCTCCTCCTCATATGAGCAATAAGAGGTCAGATTGGGTGGCTTTTCTCAGATTTTGATATTCTTCCATTGTCTTGGGGGAGCCAGTGGGGACTCAAGGGTAGGGCCCAGGTAAGCCACCAGCCCTTTGAAACACTCAGATGGGCAAGGGTGCCAGGCTGGGGGTGATCCAGAAGAGCTGACCTTAACAATCTGTGTATGAGGTTGGTCTGCTTTGACCCTTGCCCCTTGCCCTTGACTCTCTGGAGCCAGCTGCTGACCCTGACCCGTGCCTAGCCAGATCCCATCTGCTGCCCAGCCCCAGGGCCTGCCCCTGCTATGCTCCTTGACCCCTAGGTAGGTTCTCAGGCTTGTCCCACCCTATCCACCTGGAATCATAGACCATCCCACTTTTGATCTGGAGAGCTCTCAGAAATGACCAAAGCTCGCAAAAGAGGGCGGCCAGCCAGGAGAGGACAGGGACTGACAGCAGACTACACAGTAGGCTGGCAGCAGAGAAGACCAGGAACCAGGGGCGCCTTCTCATCCAGAGCCCTGCACACCGCTCCATGCTTCTCCCTGCCCTCTCTGCTTCTTTCCTTCCCCAAAGGCTGCAGGGACATGCAGAGCGGGTCGGTACTGTGGCTCTGCCAGAGCCTGGGTCTCCTGGGGCGCATGCCTCTGTCCCACGCTGTCCCCTCTGTCCCACGCTGTCCCCTCTGTCCCACGCTGTCCCCTCTGTCCCATGCTGTCCCCAGCCCAGGCTGAAGTGGTCCAGGCCCTGTTCTGGTCACAGAAGGGGCAAGGTGACCATACCAGTGGACGCAGCCATGGGTGGGCCTCCTGCGATCTTGGTCCCCAACCCTTCAGGCTAGAGCTGGGAAGGGAATGTCCTGGAAATTGAGGTGGGGCTGGGCCAGGCATGGAACCAACATTCAAAGCAACCATTCAGCACACAAAGAAACAAGGAAAGAGGAGGAAGAAAGGGTGCAGGTGGGGGCGGGGGTTGGGGGGGAGAAGCTTCATCAAGATTTCCCCTGCCCGTGACTGGCAGCTGGTAGAAAGATGGAAGGGGGTGAGTCTGAGTCTCCTGTGTGGTTCTGTCATTTCCTCTCAGCTGGGGGACAGCTCCACAGCCTGCGATGGCCTTGAAGAGGAAGGGGGCACACCTGCCTCATGGAAGAAAGGGGACAGATAACCACCTCTGCCACTGAGACAGTGAGCCCTTTGCCCATACACAGCCCCATGGATGGTGCTATGAGATCAGTGGAATCAACTGTGGTTGATGGGTGAGGGGACACAGGATGAGATGGCTCCACTCTAACGCCAGCGGTGGCGGAAGAGCCATGGGCACTGCGATGCACTCCCTGCCAGGCCCTGGACTCACCCCAGGCTTGACCTCTTGACTCAAGCTGCTTGTCCCCATTCAAGTGGGATCAGAGGACAGACATCAAGGGCAGGGCGTTCTGGAGGTGTGGGTACAAGTGGGGGAAACGGGAGGCATGGCAAAACAGGAGGAGTGGGGTGAAAAAGGAGACCACTGCGTGTGTGAGTAGGCTAAGGAGGGAATGCTCTCCTGCCCCGGAAGGTCCCCAAATTGGCAGGCAAGGGAGGGGCCCCCCCCACGAGGTGGCCCCTCATGCCTTGGCCTTGCCCTTGCAGACATCAAAGGCGGCCTTCGTTGCACCCCCAAAGGCCTCCACTAGCTTGTCCTCCCATGGGAGGATGTTGCCCAGCAGTGGCCCCGTACAGTTGGCAATGCCCAGGACTTGGGCTGGTGTCAGGGCGTGGTCCCAGAGGTTAAACTGGGCAATGTCACCCACGAAGGCCTGGGTGGCATCAAACCGGCCGCCTAGGGTATCCTGGACCAAAAGAGCAGAAAGAAACAAGAAAGACATGGAGTGAGGGAGCAGAAAAGATAGGCAGGTGCTCAGAAAGTCAAAACTCTGTCCCTGCTGAAGCCCCGCCCCCTCCAGGTTCTAGCCCCGCCCCAAGGTTCTAGCCCCGCCCCAAGGTTCTAGCCCCTTGGGCCGGTCTCCCTCAGTCTGCCCATCTGCAGAATGGCTGGGTCAGACTGAGCGCTCACTTCTGCGCTCTCAGGGACGCTCCGCCTACCCCTCCTCCTGAGGCGCCCTTGGTGGGTGGGATATCTAGCTGCATCCCACCCTGATCCTTACCTGCTCCTGGCCCAGGATAAGGATCCCATGAGGCTTGATGGGGTGCCAGGCAGCCAGGTTCTCACCAGAGCCCCGCAGGTCCCCATCCTGGTAGGCAGACCACAGGCCATCCCTGGTGGTCCAGGCGATGCAGATGTGGTGCCAGCCATTGTCCTTCAGGCTCAGGGGTAGCTGGGCCACCTGGAAACAGGTCCCCCAGCCCTGGGTCAGAGGTGCCACAAGCCCCAAGGCTGGAGCAGTGGGATGAGGGATGGGGAGACCAGTGTCCCTCCTTCCAGGGGCTGACCCAAGGTCTGACCCTCCCTATCCTCCCAGCCCAGTGTCTTTCCACAATGTAGCAATATCATCAGGTACTTCACTCAGATCACAAGGGATTACTCAGTATTGGTTTTCGGTTGTTTCTAGGTAGTTTATTCACTCTGACAGGCCTGTAAGTTCATGCAGGGTGGGAGTTGTATCTCACAAGCCTCCCTTCCCTGAATAGCTCACATAGTGCCCGGCACACAGCTAGGATCAAGAAGTGCTGGAATGATGGAACAAGCCTTGGACTCAGAGGCCAAGCGCTGCCAATCAACACCCCGTGGGACCCTGGGGAGGTTGCTCTTTCCCCCCTGGGCCTCAGTCTTATCCATAAAGTCAGGGGCTTCGGCAAAGGATGGCAAATATGCAGCCACCTCTGCCTCCTACTCCACCCAAGGCAGACATGGCTAATCAATCATGAGCCTAGACTCAACCTCGGAATCTTTCTCATCACAGTGCTCTTGGAAGGCACTGTTGATTGATTGGAGTTGGCCTGTGAGATGAAAGGTACTTGCTGCTTGTGGATTTGGGGCTCTCAAAGGGCTCTTTCATCTCCTAGTTCTCTGAGATCACAATTTATTACAATATTCTCTGAGGCCTACTTGATGCCAGGCCTTGTTCTGGACACCGGGGGATATGGATCCAGTCCTAAAATGAGCTGAGTCTGCACAGGAGGGGAGGACTTCAGGGACAATATCACAAGACAGAGCAACGTAGGGGCCATGTGGGAGATGCAGAGGCCGTGAAGGCCCAGAGGCAGAGAGGAGTGTGGGAACAGAAGATGTGAAATCCAAACACATCTGGAAGTGTAATGAACTCTGGAAATTCCACTGTAAGGCCCCCCAACCAAGGTGGGGGGTGTGGTCGGTTTGCACAGCAGGGGCAAAGGATTAGAGACTGGAATAAAAGGAGAACTGTGAGTAGCTTGTGAGGCTGGTCCTCAAAAGGCACCAGAATTTCAGGAAATTGGGTTGCCTTGTGCCCTGTCCAGGGTGCTGAATTCCTTCTATTATACTAGAACCGACTGCTACCAGGGGCAGAGCCAAGGATGGCAGCCAGGGCGGTTATGAAGGGGAACTGGGTAGCACGATCTAGATGTCACCCAGCTACCCTCTGATGGACTTAGAGGGTAAGTGTGTACTGGGCCACAAGGGAAATTCACTGTCCTGTGAGCTTATCTCTTTCTTCCTCCTCCAGGACACCCATGAAAGGCATCTCCTGCTGAGCAGGGTTCTGCTGGGTGTCAGCCACTCCCAGCAGCTCTATGTGGCAGTGGGCTGGTCACAAGTGGGTGCAGTATATGTTCTCTGCATTTCCCAGGGCATCTCAAAAGACAAGCATGCCATCAAGACCCAAAGCAATATGTCAGGCTGGGGAAGATATCTGCAGGGAATGGCATGATAAGATGCTCACCTTGCTTCCCCCTTAATCACCATGCCCCTGCTACATCACTCCCCCTGTCTCCCCAGCTTGTCCTGCCCTGTCCACTCCTGGGAGAGTGGTGATGGGGTGGGAGTCCTGGGCATGGGGAAGATCAGTGACCCAAGAGCAGAACAGTGGAGCCCAAGACCCCCAAATCACATCATCACCGCTTCACAAGCTTTGTGGCCAGGGTGCGTTATTTGCCTTCACTGAACCTCAGCTTTTCCATCTGAAAAATGGTGATAATAGGGTGTCTACTTCCTGGGGCTGTTGGATCAAGGATGATAATATGGGTAAAGTACTAGCATGGGACTTGGAATAATAAAAATGGGGCACATTTATCAAAGTTTGTTAAATGCCAGGTTCTGCTCAAAGCCCTTTACATGTATTTAAGCCATTTAATTCTTACCACAACTATGTACAGTTGAGGTTATTATTATTCTTGCTTTACAGATGAGCAAACTGAGGCACAGGGAAGGTAAGTGACTAGTCGAAGGTCACACAGTGGGTTAGTGGCAGAACGAGGATTCAAATCCGGCATTCAGGCCAGAGCTTGACCATGGCACAAGCCTACTCGCCACGTGAGGGGAGGGGCATGGGGCTGACTGCAGGGGGGAGGGGGACAAGGAATCCACGAGCACTTCTGCCCTTCCTTCCACCTCCCTTCCCAGAGAGGTCCTAGGACCTCATTTGCTTCTCTCTTCATTCAGGAGAATGAGCAGGGCCCTGGGGGCCCTATAGGTGCCCTGCTGTAGGAAGCACTTCCAGTCCTGCGCCCACAGCCAGGTTGCTGGGGAAGTCTCTTAATCTCTGTGATCCTCACATGCTCCTCTGTAAACGGCACACCACTGACAGCCTCTCTTGGATAGGAGCTCTTATCCTATCAGCCCCAGGTCTGGCTTATCTTGAATTCCCAGAACCCAGCCTGGCATGGGTTCGTCCATCTTGGAGGCATTTCACGCGTGCTGATTCTGCTGAGCAGGAGAATGGAAACGGCCCACCCATCTGGGACTAGCGCAGTGCAAATGCTCCCGGAAGGGTCCCCCCTGCCTCACCCCGATCCCTCCAGCTCAGCCCCACCCGCGCTCACCTTGTCATTGATCAGCAGCTCCATGGGGTCATGGCCCGCCTCCAGGAGCACAACCTCATTGGCCTGCCCGGGCACCGAATAGGAGAAGGGGGTGCCCTGGCCAGTGCCGCCAGACCTGGAGCGCAGCCACATGCAGACGGTGAAGGCGTAGAGCTCGGGCAGTGCCTTCCGCACGCGGGCGTACATGTAGTTGTTGCGGACGGGAATGCTGATCTTGAAGGCATCTGGGGGACTGTAGGCTGAGGACCCTGAGCGGGGTGAGCAAGGTGAATACGGTGGGGGTCAGCGGACACGGATGGGGGTGGTGGGCAGGTCATACTCCAGGATGAGGGCGACTAGTCCCCTGGTAACCTCACCTTGTCTATAAGCCTCAAGGGCGGTTCTCACCAAGTTTAAAAGATGAAAGCTCCCTGAGAGTTCATGAGTTCTAAACTCCTATTTTTCAGATGAGGAAAATGAGGCCTGGGGAGAGGAAGTGAACTTTCAAGGTCACGGAGCAAGCCGGTGACAGCTGTGGACTGAGGAGCCAGGTGTCCTCTTGCTCACACCTATACAATGTCCAACATGTCATGATTTTTTGACCCTTGTGGTGCCAGGCCCAGGTGTTAAACAAATGACAAAATTCTGATGGCAAAGGTACTCTTGAGGGTGGTTAAGAGCATGGACTTTAGAGTCAGACCTGATTTAAGGTCTAGATTCACCACTTACTGGCTGTGTGACCTTGGGCAAGTCACTTGACCTCTCTGAGCCTTATTTCCCTTATTTATTTATTTATAAATATTTTTATACTCTTATTTATAAATATAATAATTTTAATAATTATAAAACAAATATGAATATATACACATTTATAAATTTTATTTATTTATTTATAGCATTATTTATTATTAGGGAATAATACACAGAACCACCCCTGTATGGTCTGTGAAGAGTAAACCAGCTGACATATCAAGTAGTTA